AAAGTGACAGGGCGACTGTCAATTTCCACGCGAGGTCCATGAATACGAACACCATGATATTTTTGATCCTGGGGGCCTCGGTTGTGATGGTAAGAATTCTTCTTCTTCTTTTTTTCTTCCCTCTGACCAATTTTGGCTTCTTCGGCTTCTCTTCCTCTGGAATTTTGCTCCCCCTTTCCAAGTCCTGGGGTTTTTCGGGTTGAGGATTGGTCTCCTCTCATAAATATAGGCATGATGGGCTGTGTTCTCATTTCAAGAATGCCTGTAACCTCTACAGGTACCGCTGAGAGGTTGCGATTTGAAAGAGCCACTGATGCTTTCATTAGCTGGGGGGGGGCACCAGTTTCAAGGTAGTTTCCCCTTCCTGGGCACCCCCAAAGGCAGGCTGGTGGGGGTTTTTTGGACTGGCTCCTAGACCTGATCAGATGTTTTTGGCCTCTTTCAGGCAATAGCATGTTTAATGGACATGAATGCTCTCCTTGACCGATTTCACAATTATATCTTACCGCATCTGAGAGGGGAAGACCGGGTTTGTCACTGCAACTGTGGAAGGTAAGCCCACATTTTAGCCCATTCATGTCTTGTGGGGGGACAAATGGTCTTGCGGGGGTGGGGGGTAGGAAGGACAGACAAGGAGGACCTTCTGGGAGGGGAGGGGAGGGGAGGGGAGGGGATGCAATTCTTAGCCCTCTCTCAAATGGGAAGTAGAAATGGTAGTTTTGGTTAAGCTTGCATTTGGCGATGCTCTGCTAGTGCAGTTGTCTGGCTTTCAGTTGCACAACAGGCCTGTAAGGGAGGTCAGAGTTATAAAGCAATAGGGGGTGGATGGATGGATGGATGGATGGATGGATGGAAGGAAGGAAGGAAGGAAGGAAGGAAGGAAGGAAGGAAGGAAGGAAGGAAGGAAGGAAGGAAGGAAGGAAGGAAGGAAGGAAGACAGTTAAAGTGACATTCTGGCCCACTGCACAGATCTTTTTAATGGCAAACGTGAGCCAATGACGTCAAATGTTTGCATATCACCACAGCGGTTTGGATGGCTTTCAGAAGAGCTCAGAGCAAAACAAAGGTATTGTATAGGGAAGAATAGGCTGTGGATAGCTGCTGAAGTTTGAGAGCCTGCATCTCCAGGAGCAGTCTACCTTGGAGCAGTGAACCTGGAGGGGAAACGGGCAGGGAGGGCTACTCTCCCCGTCTTGTCCTTGCTTGAAAGTTTTCTCCCCAAGAGCAGCAGTAGAAAAGCGATGCTGGATGAGAATCTGGGTGACCCTCAGCCTGACCCAGCAAAACTGTTTCTCCGTCTCTGCCGCAGGTTTCTAGTCCACCTGGAAGCCACAACAGAGAGGTTCCTGGTGAAATAAAAGGTTTATTTCTAAATGTAGGTTGGCAATCGGCAATGTTGCTTTTCTGCTTTGTGGGGAAAGTGGGATGTAGAACGGCTTTCTTCCGTTTGGTCAACTAGCGTTCGTTTGCCCACTGAATGGCCTTGCAGGCCAGGAAGTCAACTGGGGCCTTGTGTTTCTCCACACGACAAAACGGTTCCCAGTTTACCCCGCAACTTCAGAAACAAAGCAAGCAAGCAAAGGGATTTTCTAACCCAGGTTATGATGCTTGGATGAGGAAGCCCCACTGCATGCTGTCTCGCTTGTTTCCAAGTGAACCATTTCTGCCGAAAGAGGTGGCCCAAATCACAGGAGATTTGCTCAAAAGTTGGCCGGGTCTCTGCTTGTCCTCATCCCCCCCAAGTAGATGTGAAGAACCATTTCCCCGATGCAGGTGGAACACAACTGTGAGCTTGCTTTCTTCGGCCCATTTACTTATGGATTTTAACATGGTTAGGTTGGGGAAAGTAGTTTCGCCCTCTCCTTGTTAACTTTCTCACAATCTAGGTGTGTGAGGACTTGATGCGCTCAAGTACCCAACTGCTAGGGATCTGCTCTTTTTGGGGGGGTGTTGCTCACTTTTTGGCCCCTCCTCTGCTATGCCTTAGAGCAGATGCACAGACAGGTGTGCAAGACGTGCAAGTGGAGAACTGGGAGGAGCTGAAAGAGACAAGCCCAAGAGCCATAAGAGTGGTCGGAACCAAGATGGTAGCCACAAGTTTGATTTTGCCTCATTGATAACCTAATAGGACAATTTCCGATTCGGGTAGCAGTCCCAGCAACTATTTGACAGAGCAAAGAAAGAGCTCTTTGTGACAAAATGTGGATTCCCGTTTGGTCTGGGGCTATCTCTCGGGCAGCCCGACCCTGTCGGGTTGTTGTGAACTGACAAGGTGAGAAGGCGTGAAAAAAAGGTGTGATAGAAATGTAAAGAAAGTCCAGCATTGGGGTGAGCAGTCTTTTTCCCACTGAAGCATATATTCTGTTGATCGAAATCTTTTAGGGCCTGTTTGAGGAGTAAGTAGGATGCCTGTCAAATGTGGGGCGAATTCTTTTCCTCTGCAAAGGGGGAAAATTGGCCTGCCAACAGTTATATATCTTGATTTTTTGGTTTATATATAGGTCTCTTTGCTAGCATAACAGAGCTCAGAGGATTCGTTGCCATTTGCAAATGAACAAACATTAAGACTACTTGAATCTTGCAAACCACACTGAAATTGCTGGGATTAGCAGGGTCCAATTCACATGGCCTTAAAATACTGTCATTTGCTAAAAATTGGAAAAGGAAGGATCGGGTGGTGACAAGCGACTGAATTATTATCACAGCAGCAAGAAAGAGAGCTGTTTTATCTGGCCTTGGCAACTTTCAGT